AAGTATGACATCGAACGTGACTAATGTTGTGTGTGTATAATATAAGTAGAAATGCTGAAATGAGCAAATATGTCATTCACAACGTTTTTTTTTTTTTGAATCTGGTCATTCACAAATAATGTCAAACGCAAATAAAGTTAAATACAAATAATATTAAATGCAAATACAAATAATATTAAATGCAAATAAGCAAGGTATCAAAAAACACTAGGCGTCCCCTAGGCGGCCAGCCTAGCGCCCAGCGCCTAGGCAGGCGCCCTGTAGTGGAAAATCATCCATTTTTAGCCCTGTAGTGGAAAATCATAGCATTTTTAAAAATATTTGCTATCCTAATGTACATATATGCATATATTTGTGTCAAATTTTGTAATTTATTCCATTTCACAACATATATTTTACTTTGGGATTCAAAAATAAACCCCATAACTTTTTCATACAAACTTGGGGGTCAAAATGACCCATTCTACCCTTTTGTGCGAATTTAAAAAGAAATTTCCGCCTGACTTTATTGGGCGCCCACCCAGACCTGGGTGCTGGGCACCCACCTAGGTCGCCTAGGCGCCCACCCAAGTAAAAACACCCATTTCGGGAGCCTTTTCATGATGCGTGCGATTTTTTGTTAAAAAACGCCTAGGCGCTAGGCGGACCCTTTTTTTAAACAATGCAAATAATGTTATTCACGTATAACAATATTCACATTTAACATTATTTGCATATAATGCCATTTGTATAAACAATATTTGCATTTAGGACTATCTGCAATTTAACATTATATGCAGATAAACAGTTAACAGCTTCAAAAAAAAACCATTATATGCGGATAGGATTATTTGCTTATACCAATATTCACATTTTAACATTATTTGCATAGAACGATATTATTTAGATACAACATTATTCACCTCGAACAACATTCTCAGATAAAATTATTCCGAATTAATATTAATTGCAGATAACATTATTCGCATACAAAATTATTCATATATAACATGGTTTGCATATAACAAATATTGGCATCTATCATTATTTGGGAATACCATCATTCGCACATAACATTATTTGCATACGAGATTACTTGCATTTCATTTTATTCGAATATAACATTATTTGCCTATAACATAATGTGCATAAAACATCATTCGCATATAACAATTTTCACAAATCATATAACAATTTTCACAAATCATATAACAATTTTCACACTTCACTCGTGTATAACACTATTCGCATTTAACAATATTCGAGTTTAATATTCAATGGCAACACCATTCATTATTTTCAAAACATTCCCAAAACTCCAGCTCTGTCGAAATCTGTAAAGAGGTTGGGCTGTCGAGTAAACTCTCTCAAGCATCTTGGCTTGCCCTTGTGCCTCGGTAAACAAAGAAAGCAGCAAAGGATGAAGCGGTTGAAAGTTTTGATCACAAATTGGCGTCATGGAAAGGTTGTTTCCTCTCTGAGGAGGAAAGGACGACTCTCATAAAAACTACCACATCCAATTTTACTATGACCCAAATGCCCCTTTTTAGGATGCCAATATTTGATTGTAAATCAGCTCGACCACCTAGTGAGGTACTTCCCCTGGTCAGGGGCAGGTGGCAAGCATAAGCTACACCAAATGAAATGGGAAGATGTTTGCAAACATAAAAAGACCAAATGGTTGGGTATTAAACGACTAAAGGAAAGGAATATTGCTCTCTTTGCGAAAATGGTGGCAGCAATTTGCAACAAGACAAACACTTTTAGAGGAGTGTTATCCAGCATAGGTATGGGTGCTCCAATATGGGTGACTACCAACAACCTAGGCCAACAACCAAGGCCAACAAAGTGCTTTGTGGGCCTGGAAATGGATCAGCTCATTGATTCAATTGGCAGGTCAAGAGACAGCAAACTCAAGGCTCAATTCTTATAACCTCTACATGGTGGCCGCTGACCAAGATAAATGTGTATATGAGATGTACGAAGTGCTGGCAGGGCAGCTAGGATGGTTATTGGACTTAGAAGAGACCTTACAGAGAGAAAATGGTGAACATAAGGCCTTTCTGTCAATCCTCAATTCACTCTACATTCCACATCAGGGTTTGGACAATATGGTTTGACAGCCAGCCCCATTGGAAACTTTTTAGTGTCCTCCTCCTCCAACCAGCTTGTGCCTATCACCCCATCTCCCTTGCCAAAAAGGCATGGCTTAACATAACTCCAACCAAGTACCAGGCCTCTGTTAAAAAAGGCAGTCACAGTCGATCACGCCCAGAATGGGAGTATTCACCTCTTCAAGAGAGGAATCATGTGCAATGTAAACTGGGAATCGATTGACGACCTCTTATTATACGGCAGAGTGGCTAGCAAAATCTAGGAAGTCATATTTAACCTTTCTAGTACTGTGTGGGCACTCCCTGCCAATATCCAGCAATAGTTTGTTGCTTGCTACTCCCCCCATTTCCAAGATTGGTCATTACCCAAGGCGAGCCTCTGTTCTAGAATCCTTGGAGTCGGGGGATCTCAATTCCAAACTTAGGAGGATAGAACAATCTCGATGGTCATAGAGTGTGTTAGAACACAAAACAATCCACCTTGAATTCCCTGCCTAATCGGTCCCTCATGGCAAGATATTACCCTATAACTATCACTAGACAATGATTTGCACCTGAAACAGATACCATCAATTTGAATTTTGATGGATGCTCCATGGGCAACCAGGGAGGGGAGGGGTTTGGCGACCCTTAGACATAGCTCTGGTCTAGTGTGTTTATCATTTGCAGAGGACATTAGCGTGTCAAATGATGCCTAAGGCCCTAAATGCAAGCCCTGCTCTCAGGTTTCAAGTCGTTCAACCAGGTGCAGGGATCCTCGCTGCTAGCTGAATGGGACTCAAAATGTAACCAACTGTCTGCCAGAAACTCTACCCATACGTGGAGTGCGAAGCATGCTTTTGCTGAAAATTTTCGTATCTAAGAGTCCTTTCAAGTGTATCTTCGGCAAACTTGGTTAGAGAATTCCATAGCAGATGGTCTCCCCGGCAAGGGGCTTCACAAACCAATTTTGTAACAATCCCTCCCAAAGCCTAGTTGAAAGTTCTTATTATGTTTCTGGTGTTTATAAGTGTAATTTTGTGCCATAAGTGGTCTTCCAATTTGTAGCAACCTGGTTGTACAGTTACCTTTCTGAAAAAAAGCTCCAATTCAATGCTCCAAGCCTCCAACAACAATTAGAGAAGAAGGAAACCAATTCCAAGGTTCAAAAGCCTTTCAGTTTTTCATAAATCAATTATTTATGTCTTTGGAGAAAGAAATCAATCCCAAACGCCAAACAGAAAGTACCAAAGATTACCCTTGCAATCCAAAAATCTGTTCAATTGAAGTAAAAATGAAGAACTTCAAGCAATTGTAAGATACAATCCAAAAGACAAAAGTTCAATTGAAGTAAAAATGAAGCACTTCAAATAGTGCACGTAAAGGGAAAGAAATCCAGATAAAGCAAGCATCCTAACAATACAAACAACTACTTTGTAGGTGAAAAAACCGTAATAGAACAATGAATCAATCAAAGATAAGACCAAAGTTCTTACTGTCAAGATAGCTCGCAAGTGAGGTAGAGAGGAAGATGTCTTCTGGACCCGCCCAAGACATCCCCTCTGTTACAACCGAAACGTTCTCCTCTTGCTACCGATCCCTCGAGTTTTTGTCTCCACAAAGCCACAAAATACTCCAGAGAAACCTTAACAAATGGCATTGGCAGGCACTAATACCCAATAACTTATCTGCCCAAGCCTTTAAAAGCTTGCAGCAAACCTCGATCAATCAGATACTACTCTCACAGTCAAAAGACCTAATTCCTTCAAGTTTCAGATCTGTAAACCCAAACGCTAGAAACCACTCCTTAGAAAAACATCCATCAACGACTAAGAGCCCAAATTTCCTTTAAAACGTCAAATATCCAGCAATCGCCATGCATCAATTAGTCTACCAGATCCAATGAACTCAACTCTTACAAACCCACTCAACTCTTCCAAACCCTAACCTTTCACTAAAATTCAAATGAAAAGGATCCAGGGTACAGTAACCAAGCCTCAGCCGTCTACACTGATGATTACTCAAAGAAAAACCCAATATTATCTTCAGATAAGGATTCAATTGACCTTAATCCAGTACAAGTTGCGAGCCCTAATTTACGAAAAAAGGAACCCTAATTCCTCTTCAAATTGGCTTCAATAGATCCAAATTCCTCCAAGAACACGCCAATAAACAATTTTCCTTCCTTCCGCTTGAAAATTACGGAATAACAGGAGGGCCTCGACCTAAACTACTTAATAAGGCAAAGAGATGATGATAAACTAACCTACAATACAGTCTTTCTTCGCCATTGAAGGCGACGGGAAGCTTTTCTGCACCTTTTTTGCTCTGAAAACCCTATCCTGACGTTTTTTTTTCCACTGATAAAACCCTAACCTTCCTTTTTTTTTATGAAAAAATAAAAATAACAGCCCCTTTTTTATTCCCGCCTTTAATTAAACTGAATTAAAAGGGGCCGAAATTCTTGATGTGATTATTACTAAGCGGGCGGTGGTATTTATAGCGTTCACTGCAATGTAGGGTTTGGTCGGCGCCCCCGCCTTGACATCATGGAAGATGACGTGTCGATAAGTGTTGCGGCGATGCGTGACACGTGGTAAATGAGAGATGGTAATTAGTTGATTTTTGTTTTTTTAATGTGTTCCGATTATTTACTATTTATTTGGTTCGGTGTTTAGAAATTCACATGTGCTCCATATGTCAAATTAGAATGCCAGAGAAATTTCTTTTTTTTGAATCTTAAGTGTGATTAATAGCACCCTTATAACTATCTAATTTGAATTCTGACCAACAATAATTATCTTTACATCTTTCTACCAAAAAGTAAATGATCTATTTATGTATTTTTCCTTGATTTAAAACGTACATCCAAATCACCAATAATCTCCGAACAAAGATTCAAGTTATTTTAAATACAAACATATCTTTAAATATGATTAAAAATTGAACTAAAGAGGTCAAAAATCCAAAAGCTATAAGACTTTTTATTCTCGTAGGAGCATATTATACATCTACTCCCACGAGCAAAACTTACCCTTGATATATCTTTTAGATCTCAAATTTTGGGATATGATCTCTAAAAATCTGCAAATAACCTCAAATAAAAAAAGAAAAATTCGTTCTCTCTTTTTGCATAAAAAAAAGTCAAATAAAAAAAGAAAAATTCGTTCTCTCTTTTTGCATAAAAAAAAAGGTAATGATCCTATGAGTCCATCCCAACCTGTAAATAACCTCAAATAAAATAAAATAAAAATTCTTTCGCTCTTTTTGCATTAAAAAAAGAGTAATGATTCTATGAGTGCCGCCCACACCTATGCATGTAGAACCTCAAAAGATCATCATTAAATTTGGCACAGATATCTATAAAAGTTATCACATGAATGTAGGATTTGACTTTTTTAAATATCTGTGCTAAATTTAATGATAATCATTTGCGTCCCACACACTTTTTTTCAAATCTCAAAAGTTGCCCCTTTTTTCAAATCTCAAAAGGAAAGTTGGTAGGTCAGTGTAGATTTGGGCCCGTATCCTTTAGTGAGAATAGAGTCAGAGACCTCATCATGGGACTCGACAATACTATCGCCAAGGCCCTAAGCCCTACCCTTTGGTAAAAATGGAGTAAGAGACCTCATCATGGGGCTCGACAATACTATCGTCAAGGCCCTAAGCAATTTTCAAAAGTGGATAAATCAATGGGGATTTGGACCCCTACCCTTTGGTGAGAATGAAGTCAGAAACCTCACCATAGAACTCATCAATACTACCGTCAAGGCCCAAGCCATTCTGAACCTCCACTAACTTTGTTTAGTACTACCAAGCAAACTGAAACAACATACCTAACCTTCACCTCGAACTTACCCTCCTCTATCTAACCTTTGACTCGAACTTACCTTCCTCTTGCAAGAATCTTCACATGTGATCAGCGTATAAAATCACTACTCGAACCGAGCACTCAACCCAATGCCCAAGCCGAGTACTTGTCCAAGTAGAGCTGAGTACAGTAGTAGCAAAAATAAATAAAAAATCCAAAAATAGAAAAAATATATTAAAAAGTACAATTAAACAAAGCATATCTGAATGTGGTGAAAAAAATAGCAAAAATATATATTTAAAAAATTGATTTGCATCTAAAGGTATTTTTTAAGGGCAAGCTTTATATGTTTCCCCTATAGCATAGAAGTTCTATCCTACCCTTTATCCAACCATCCATTCTGATTGGAGGGCTAAGATTGCCCCAATCACAATGTCACATCATTACACTATTTTATTTTTAATTTTTTTTCCATAAACTATTTTGATACCAAATTTTGGACGTCCATTCCTCTATTAAACTAGCACTAGTGAAAAATATAAAAACAATATTTTTAATAAAATAAAATAACCAAAATACCTCTGAAAATTTCAAGGGGTATTTTGGTTATTATATTTTATTGAAAATTTATTTTTAATATTTTTTATAGGTGCACCCCAATGTTAAGATGGCACTTACCAAATTTCATATTCATACAATTTGTATAAAAAAAACTAAAAATAAAATACTTTGAGACATCGGATCTAAAGATCAAACAGTGAGTGGCTCTCTTGATCAAAATTGGACGGCTGGATGGTAGGGGAGGATTGAACTTCTACGCTGTAGGGGAAGCATAGAAACCTTTTCCATTTTTTAAAGAAAAAAGTTTATATAAGGTTGCAACCTTAAAATGTAGAATTACAGGTGCACCTCAAAAATCCATCGAAAAAGGTTGTTTTAATGTTGAAAAACCCTGTAATTGATCATCTCGACAACGAGATGAATGAATATGAAAAAATAATAATTTTGAGTCCGAGAAATAGTGCATCTTGCAATACATTATCTAGACCATCCATGTAACAATCCTAAACTTTCAAAAAAAAAAAAAACTATTAATACATGACAATTCATTTGAACATGATGGTCCTTAGGGACCATCGTTACTTTTAAAAGCTTTGTGTTTCCTTGCTCTTGCCACGTCCACTAAAGGACGTGGGCTTTAGGTGTTTAAAGCGTAAACTAACGCTCACACCTGTAACGTAATAAAAGCTTTAGGTGTTTAAAGCGTAAACTAACGCTCACACCTGTAATGTAATAAAAGAATAAAACAATATATTAGTAGAATTTAAATTCAGAGAGGTGAAGACTCCTACCTTAGAAAACTTATGAGATTTTTCTCTCTGGTCGAAGCACAATGAACTCCTCTCTCGAGCCGAATTTTTATCGAAAGCTCCCTCTCAAATATTTGTGCGTAAGCGACATCATCTTCCTGAAAAATAGATTGTTTTTAATAAATAGTGATATTTCTGTCCAGGATCTTTATTTTATAAGTTTTGTGTGTAAGTGACCTTATTGTCTCGAAAAATAATCCATTCTTTTTAAAAATAAAATGAAATAATTATTTCTACTTATTATCATGAATTTTAGGCGCGATAAATTTTATGCGCACGCGACCTCATTATCTTGAAAAATAATCTTTTTAATAAAAATTGTGATATTTTATCTATGTTAGAAATTTTAAATGCTGTAAATTCTTAGAAAAATAAATTTATTTATTTTTCTTATCTATTGTTAGAAAATTTTAGATACTGTAAAATTATTATTAAAAATAAATGTAATATTTCTGATGTTAGTAAAATGGTGAGAATTCTTTCTACTGTTTTTGAATATTTAGACATTGTAAATTTCATGTGTAAATGACTGCCTTATTATTTGAAAACTGATATTTTTGCATTTGATTATAGCATTGTCTGTGAAATGTTCATTTGTCAATTGATATCCCATAAATTGTGATAATTCCGTATTCTTGAATTTCTATAAGAGTTTTTCTATACATATTAAATTGGCAATTATGCTAGAATGTCTTTACGAACTGCTACCTTTCTAAATTTGAGCCCAAAATATTTTATTGGTTATTTTTGAAATGTTATTGAAAGTGAATGTTATTAATGGTTTCAGTGAGATTCATATTAATGATTTCAGTGATATGTTGAGTACATGATATTGCTGCTTTCGAATGTTTAAAGAGACTTAGAAATACTTTAATTATGCAAGTGGACTCATCCGGTTCACCGGTGAGGTATAAGTGGACCTATCCGGGACGCTGGTATGGATTAAGTGGACTCATCCGGTACGCCGGTGAGGTATAAGTGGACCTGCAGGGATTAAGTGGACTTATCTGGGACGCCGATAGGGATTAAGTGGACCCATCAGGACGCTGATGGGGTATATAGGTGACCTACTTAGGACGCCAGTAGGGTATTTTGTGAAATCTTTTTAATTATGTATTGATGTTAAAATGTGATATGTATTTCAATTATTCGGATTATACTTAATTATGTATTTTTGAAAGTGAAACTGTTAATGCATTATTGTTAATAGATCTCCTTTTTGAAAATATTGATATCTTTCAATCATGATTATTTTTATG